CATGGCCTCATGGTACAGAGCTCAGATATGCCATCTCTAGGAACTCCAGTGTCCCTTTCCCCTGGAGAGATACCTTTAGTCTTTAGGATTTTTAATAAAATAGGCACCAGCCATCCCAATCCCAGTTTGGCTCACATGGGCCTTTCCTTCCCCCCACCTCTAGCCTTCAATTTCTGTCTGAGAAGTGGGACCTCAGGTTTGACAAATTCACAGGGCTCCCTGGGCACATGGGCTGAAGAAGGAGCTGGGATTTCTGCATGGGCAGCCTAGACGGGGTCCCTACTCTTGCTGCAGTCCCTGAAAGACCCTCATTTCCTCATATGGGACCCACTGATGTCACACTTGCTCATCCCCCGGCCACTCAGAGCAGGCACTGTCATCTCCGTGTTAAAGATGACAGAACTGAGATTCCAACGTGACAGGCAGATCAGGCAGGGCTTGGAAACAGTGCTCCGAAGCCGAGCAGGTTACTGTACTGCCATGGCCACTCAAATGGCTCAGCACCTGAGCGCTGGCTGATCTGTAACCCTCGCTATTCCGACTGTTTTCTTTGTAGTCACTGAGCAGGAGACTAAAGTCCCCAAGAAAACCGTCATCATGTAAGTGCAGGCGTGTTCCTAACCTTCCTTCTGACTGCAGTGCTCCCTGCATGCCCACTAACCCACGTGGACCTTGTCCGTGTGACCTGTCCACCCGCTTGTTTAACTGCCTGCTCACATGGCCTTTGCTCACCATGCAGACTGCCAGCACTTTGCAGATGCCACCAAGGGGACCCACCTTCCCCTGGGGCCTTGGCTACTTTCACACTAAACAGCTCTCTCTTCCAGGGTCTCTATGGCTCCAGTGGCTCCACAGGGTAGACTTACACTGCATACTTCACAGCAGCTCACTCAGGGCTTAGGCCCAGAATCACGTCAGTTAATTTGGAGCTGGGACCAAGAGCTGCTTCCCACAGTGGGCTAGAGGGAATATTCTACTCCTCAAACCTTAGGATCTAGGGCAGTTTTGTCCGACAGAGCTTTCTGTCATGCTGGAAATACTCTATATTTATGATGCCCACTACAAGAACAGGCACTAGCCACAAGTGGCTACTGAGTATTTAAAATGTGTCAAGTGCAACCGAAGAACTGAATTCTAGATTTTACTTATTCTCATTAACTTGCATTTAATTAAAATAGTGTAACCCTGGTGGGCAGCACAGCTCTAGGGCCCTTAAAGATCTCCAATCCCAACCCTAGCATTAGGGAGATGCGGAAACTCAGGTTAGGGAAGAGGTTTGCTCAGGATGGTTCATGATTGAAAGCCAGCAGGTATCCCATTTCCCCGGTGCCACGCCCATTGTCCCCTTTTTATTAGGTGCCTTCAAGGCTGGGGTTGTTGCTGATTAAATAACACAAGAGGTCTGGAACCGAGTAAGCCCACAGAAGGCAGAGTTGATTTTCACCTGGATGATCCAGTAGGAGGTGTCTGCAGGTGGAGATTGTGTAAAAGTTTGTGGCAGCCAGGAGGCAAGAAAGACTGGTCTAAGACCAGATGACTGGGAAGCTCCTGTTGGTTCCTCATGGGCCTATGACCTCCTAAAGGGGCCTGCAGTTGGCCAAGTTTTGGAGAACGCTATCACCAGACATTTGGTCAGATCCTGGATTAACCCTTCCTCAACTTCCTCCCTCCTCCCCCAAGGCATATTGCTGCCCACAGTACATGGGGCAGTAGTAAGCATTCCTGGAGGCATGCAACTGTGCCAGAGCTATACACAGAATAACTCTACGTTTCGTCTACAAAGGAAGCATTTTTATTATTTACATCTTACAGATGACAAAATGGAGAAACAGAGACAGGGCCAGGCTGCCTCATCAGTAAGACTTCAGAGAGGACTCACACCTGGGGCAGCCGGACTAGGGGACTCGAGAGGCATCCTGAAGTCCAGTCTATTCCAGGCTTAGGGAGGTACCAACACACACCCTGTGTTGCTGGAGGAACTCAGCAGGAGGAATTGTGCCAGGCATCTCTCCCAAGGGCACACCACAGAGTAGGGACTCAGGGTACACAGGGAGGAAAAAGGGCTTGGAGAGAGACCCCTGCCACCTGGCAGTCCCACCTGCTGTCCTGGGAGCCTCAGTGCAGGATGCCCACATGCCTTCATGGGGGCAGTAATGAGCTCAACACAGGGAGGCATTTAGGAGGCATGACCCCAGTTTCCACAGGACTGACTGTCCTGCCTTGGTGAACTGAAGAGGCATGAGGCCAGCAGATGGACCTGGCCCAAGCTCCCATGATATGTGGGCAGGCTCCGACCCAGGGACAAGCCTAGTGTTCCCAAGCCTGGGCATGAGGCCGGAAGGCAGTCCTGTGATTTTTGATTAGGCCATGCCTCTAAGCCTCAGTTCCCCCATCAGTTGAGTGGGGTGTAGCATTTCCTTCTTACCTGCTGAGGGCTGAGGAGGCAGAGCGTATAATTGCTGTGTACCCCAAGGGGTAGCACACATTTCTGGGCCCATTCCTGGGGGTATATGCTCCTGGATGGAGCCCTGAGTTGGATAAAAGCTGAATGAGAGAGAGAGAGCACGAGCCTGCCTTAGTCATAGCAGGCAGGTGACGACAGCATTGAGCTGTCACCACATGCGTGCCTCAGTCCAAGAGAAAATGCAGGTCCCAGGGTCCAGGAGAGTTGTGAGTTCCCCAGGGTCTGTGTGTTACTCAGCACATCCCTGCTCCCTGATACTGCCTGATACTGATTGTACCCACAGCACCCGCCAAGGTCAGGGGCACAGGGTGGCAGAGGGGTCCTGGGGCTGACTGGTGGACTTCTGAATCATGGCCCTGGGCATGTGTGCAGCCTTCTCAGCCTCGTGGTCCACACTTGCAAAAGGAGGTCAGACTCATCCCCCAAGGCTGCTGCAAAGTCCCTGGCCAGTACCTGATGTTCACCCATATGCAACTGGCCTTGTGTTCTGCCTCCTCTTCTCCTTCCTGCCCACTCCCATTTAGGTGGAAGGGGCCCAGGAAGAGGAAGTGCTTGTCTGAAGTCACACAGCCAGTGACAGCCAAGCCATGCTCAGAGCCGGGTATTCTTGCTGGGTTTCACACCCCCAGAAGAACAGATCAGGAGCACAAGCAGCAAGATCAGGGCTCTGACAACACCCCTGGACCTAGGATCAGCTGCCAACCTATCTCCAGCTGAGGACCATTGAGGCTCCTGCCCTCTGAGAGCTCACTGGGGTCATCCCCCATGATACAAAGCACAAAGCACTCATGGGATAGACAAGGAAGGCCACATGGCTGTGTCCCTGCATCCCTGTCCATTAGTTCTGCGAGGAGCATTGGCATCTCCAAAAGAAGGTGGCCATAAATGGAGGAGAGACACAGGTGGAGACATTGTGAACCAGACTTGGTCTGGGGTTTGGAGGTGCACTGTGATGAGGCGTGGGTCTCCCTTGTTGCCTCAACTCTTATTTTGAGATCTGCACACTGGAGCCTGAGTTGGTCAGATGAGGCTTTGTGCTTTGTTCCATTGGTGCTCTGGCTAGAGGTTCCAGAGGGCGGGCTCAAGCACACATGTAGGAATTTGTTTTGCAGTGTCACCAATTGCTCACTACACTAACCTGATCACTCACATGGCCCCTGCATGTGCTGATGGCGTGGGCAACGGGCAAGGGTACAGGTCTCTGTGCACATTTCCTCTTGGCCCTCTCCCTGCAGAGAGGAGACCATCACCACCGTGGTGAAGAGCCCTCGTGGCCGGCGCCGGTCCCCCAACAAGTCCCCCTCCCGCTCGCCTTCCCGCCGCACTGCCAGCCCGCCCAGGCCAGGCCAGTTGGCCTCCGAGCTGCTGTACTCACCAGGGGCCAGCCAGCCCTGCAGGCCTGAGGTGGAGCCAGGCTGGAGACCTACTGTACCCACACTGTATGTGACGGAACCTGAGTCCCACACGCCGGGCCTGCCCCAGGGCACGAGGCCCCAGCCCAAGTGGGTAGAGGTCGAGGAGACCATTGAAGTCAGGGTGAAGAAGACGGGCTCCAGGGGTGCATCCCCTGCCAGAGAGGCTCCTGACAGCTCTGCAGGGCTTCTCTTCACGCTGCCTGGTGGGACCCCCATAGGAGATCCCAATGCAAACAACTCCAACAACAACCTACTGGCCCAGGAGCCGCAGGCCCAGGGCAGGGCACTGGTCAGCACTGGAGAGCCTCTCATCTTCTGCATGGACACAGGGCCAGAGGAGACCTGTGAGCCGTTCCCTCCCCAGGCGGCTGAAGAGGAAACCCCCGTGGAGGAGGTGGAGGAGGTGGAGGGAGGAGGTGCCCTCCTGATGGAGGAGCCCCTGGGCACCAACAGCCTTTGGGGCCGTGACCCCAAGATCCTCACACATGATGGCCGAGTGCTGACGCTGGCTGACCTGGAGGATTACGTGCCCCGGGAGGGGGAGACCTTCGGCTGCCATGGCCCTGTGCCCAGCACTTCTGACGACCCACCCTGCGAGGTCTCTGTGCTCCAGAGAGAGATCAGCGAGCCCACGGTGGGGCAGCCTGTCCTGCTCAATGTGGGGCGTCCTCTGGGCCCTCGAAACCCACCTAGCTTTTTCAGTCGCCGGGAGGCGTCTCCCTTGGGACCTCAGGTCCTCGGCCCCGCGGGAGTCTCCTTCTGTATGCAGGAAGCCCGGGCTGGGGGCGCTGCGTCCTGGAAGCCGTCCTTCTGCATCCAGGTCCAGAGGTCTGCAGACAGCGGCCAGAGCAGCTTCAAAACGGAGGTTAACACCCAGACGGTCAGCTTTGGGACGGTGGGCGAGACCGTCACCCTGCACATCTGCCCGGATGGGGACAAGGCCCCTGGCCCCGCCCAGGGCTGAGGCCGTGAGCAGCAGGTGCCTGGCTGCCAGGCCCCGTGGCTTCCTGGAGGAAACCAGCGCTCCATGGACACACGTGTGCTCTGATCCTCTCCCTAACTCTCCAAGAACTCAGGGCTGGAGCCTGCTCGCCCCTCTCTCCCCAGGCTCTTGCTACCTCATGGGGCCTGGTCCAGCTGAAGGCACCGTGCCCAGACCTGGCGTCTCAGAAAGTACAGAAGGCGGAGGGACTCACAGACTGCAGCTCTGGGCTTGGGGCTCTAGACGCAGGTCAGGGACTCTGCATCTGTCCTGCCGCATTCATGAGGCCAGGCTGCCAGGTGGGCCCTGCCTGCTTCAGGCTGGGGTCCCAGTCTCCCTCTCACTGGGGAGCTCCCCAGCCACATCTTCACTATGAATGTTTCTCTTGGCCTCCGGGAGGCCTGTGCAGGGCCTAGCCCTACAGGAACTCCTGGGCCTCTCTGCAGGGTGAACCAGGGTCTGTGCGTGGGAAGCGGCCCATCAGTGACCCCCCAATGATAATAAACTGGTTCCCTGCACTGCCTCTGTTCTGCTCTCCTGCTTCTCTGTCTGGTGGCTCCGGCGTCTTGTGGTGGAGGGCCCTGGGTCGGCACCCGGCATCAGCCTGTGGGTTCTGGCCCATTCTTGGGGTCCCTGGATGGAGGCGTGACAGCCCACAGGTTTAGCTTGCTCACATGGGCTGTGTGGCTGGTCACAGGTGCATATGCTGGGATCAGGATGGCCCATTGTGGTCGTTCCCAGCCTGCTGTGCAGTGGGGGCTGTTGGCGAGGTTGACACAGAGGGTGTTCGTGTCAGGGGTGTGCTGATGTCTTTGGACTGGGTAAGGACAAGGTGGGTTCCCCAGTGTCAGAGAGGGCAGACAGACAGCAGACTGCCCAGTTGTGTCTCTGTCCTGGAGGGCCCGAGGATACAGAAGATCGGCAAGAGAGAGGGTCTGGGGCAGGGGAGAGCTCCAGGCAGGGGCACCTGCTGGGAATGGAGTGGTGGGCATCCCTGGGCATGTGTGCGGCTGTGGTGTGGCTGTACCAAGTTACCTCCAGGTAGAAGAGGAAAACATCCTGGGAGCTGGGGGCAGAGAGCCCACATGTGGGACCGTTGGGGAGGGTTCCCTCGGGGGCTGTGTGGGAGGCTGGGGTAGGGGCCAGTGAGGATGCGGTGGCCTGGGTGGGCAGGAAGGGGCCCCTGGTCCCTGGCAGCATCAGGCTGTCCCCAGGCTTCCCTAGAGTGTGGGGCTGGGTCCACCCTGGCCTGGGTGGCCCAGTGCCCTGGGGCCTGGAGTGGGCCATGGGGTGGGGGGAAGCCAGTCCCAGGGTAGGGGTGGGTTGACCTGAGACTGAGGACAAACCAGGACAGAGGGTAGGTACCCACGCCCTCCTGTCCCCAGAGGAGCCCGCATGCTCCTGAAGGCCCTGAGTTCACTGCCTTGAGTGGGTGGGTGGGGCAGGCAGCTGGGAAGGGCAGCCTCTGAGGCTTGGGACTAAGTGTCTGGAGCCTTCTTCTGGGGCCCAGGCCACCTCTCACCCCTGCGCACTGACCTGCCTCTCTCGCAGATGCTGCTCTCCGTCCCGCAGTTGCCCTGGAGCCAGCAGACCAGGAGGGCACGGTGTGCACCAAGGCTCCAGGACCCTCCATGTGGGACCGTGCTGGCCCCAGCCCTGGCCCCGGGGGGCCACCCAAACTCCAGGACGCTGGCCCCCAGCTCCCAGGCATGGAGGATGCAGATGCACCTGGTAAGGCCCGGCGGCTTCAGGCTGACCACCTAGTGCCACCTGCTCTAGAGTCCCCCCTGTGCTGGCCCCAAGCTTGGCCACCCCAGGTATCCATCCTGTGTGGGCGAATGGGCAGGGCCCTGGGGACCGTGACATCCCAATGGCTCCATGCACTCAGCCTCAGTCTCCCCATGTGTGAAATTAGGCAGGGGAGCGGGTGCTGGGAGGTTCTTCCCCAGTACTTTTGTCCTGGGAGCCAGAGGCTTGGGTGGTCAGTCCTGGGCAGAAAGCCTGGGGGACCTGTGCTCCTGGGTAGCTGAGGGGGTGAGGAGGAGGGAAGGAGAAGTAGAGGAGGGAAGAGGGAGGAGGGAGAAGAGAGGGAGGAGAGGGAGGGGTAGACCCCCCACCACCCCGGACAGATGAGGCCCCCCAGGGCTATGCCCTGAGGCCCTGCCCCCGGAGGCTGCTGCACCTGCTGGGGCCCTGCACGCTGGCTGGCGAGGGGAGCCTCGGGGCTGGTGGCCCAGGCTAGCAGCTAGGGCAGGGCTCTGGGCTCTGTAGGGAGGTCGGGAGCCCTGGGTGTCGGGAGTGGGTGTTCCCTGTCCGTTCTTACCCACAAGGCCCTGCACCCCTGGAGCCCCGGCGCTGTCTTGTGCTGGGCCTGGAGGGTGGCAGGGGGCACGTTGTGGGGGACAGTCCCAGCTCCATCCCAGTGTCTTACTAGGCCCCTTGTCTCCTACCAGTTGAGCCCCAGAGAGTGCCACAGCCTCTCCCCCAGGAGCAGGACTCAGGGGCCCATGCCGAGGGCCAGGGACGCATCGTGCCCATCCGGTAACCTCCCTGGCGTGCTGGGTGGGGGCAGTTCATGAGAGGGACACCCCAGGGGCAGAGCACGGAGGAGAGGCGGCCCTCAGGATGAGGGGTGTTGGTGGAGCCCTCTCATTGCCCAGGGCTGGGTGTCCTCTCTGTACATCCCTTCCCGAAACATCCGCTGCCGTTCAGGGAGGGGGAGGCATGCGCCCCCATCTTGTGGTGAGGCTTGGCCGCCCGCACTCCACAAGTGTAGCAGACAGGCAGACGGCTCATCCAGCTCCATGACCACAGGATGGAGGGCACAGCCCGGCCGGGGGCAGGCACAGTGGAGCTATGGGACGTCCACAGCGAGGTGTTCACGGAGACCACCCATAGGACATACGTGTACCAGGCCAGCGACACAGCTGCCAGAAGTAGGTTACACATGTGCTCCCCATGCCCTGGGCTGCGGCCGGGGGGGGGGAGGGGCACTTGTGCGGAGGAAACTGCAGAGCCACCTGGCCTGTTCTGGCCTTGCTGTGGCCGGGGCCTCACTGCCCGTTTCCTTGCATTCCCTAAGAGGGCCATCCCTGGCAGAGGTGAGATCTCTCTCACTGGGGGTGCTGACAGGACTGAATTGGATGTTGGGTGCCCCCTTCCCCCAGCAGGGGTTAGCCCGCTCTGCATGCCCCGCCCTTGGACAGCTAGGGTCTAGGCAGGACAGACAGGTTAGATGGAAGGAAACACTCAGTGGCCATCAGGGGCCCGGGCAGAGTCAGGAGGGGATTGTCCTCATCTGGGGAGGCAGGTGCCCCGAGGGAGGATCTCAGGGCCTGGCTGCCCACCTGGGGTGTCAAGACAGGCCCAGGGTCAATGCTGGGCCACCAGGGGGTCTCTGACTGCAAGCCCCATTGACGAGTCCATGCTGGCGGGGCTGTGGTGGGCAGGGCGGGCGGCACAGACTGGGTCCCCCCCTCACAGGCTCCATCCTGCACCCCAGGGCCCCCGTCCATGCAGGTCACCATCGAAGATGTGCAGGCACAGAGGGGGAGCACAGCCCAGTTCCAGGCGGTCATTGAGGGCAACCCGCAGCCCATGGTGACCTGGTACCGGGTATGGACAGGCGCCGTGTGGGGGGCCGGGCTTGGGGAGTGTGTGGCATTCCCACCCGACAGCAAGGCGCTCACCGGAGGGCGGGACAGCCTGCCTTGCAAGGGTCTCCAGGTTGGGCTGATGGTCGCCCCACCGGCCTGTGCCCCCAGGACGATGCCCAGCTGGTGGATGGTGCCCGGCTCAGCCAGCAGCAGGAGGGGACCACCTACTCCCTGGTGCTGAGGGATGTGACCCAGCACGACGCTGGTGTCTACACGTGCCTGGCCCGCAACGCTGGCGGCCAGGTGCTGTGTAAAGCGGAGCTGGTAGTCCACGGGGGTGAGTCGGGGGATCCCTCCTAGAACCCGAGTGTCTGCTCCTTGCGGGCACGGGGGGAGGGTGGTCTGTGGCTTCTCACAGGAGGCAGCACAGGGATGCTGCTCTTGGGGGAAATGGACATCTTTACCCACACCGAGGGCTTCTCGCCCCTCGATTGCAGGAGACAGCGAGCCGGGCTCAGCGAAGCAAAGCTATCGAAGGAAACTGCGCTCCTTCTACGAGGTCAAGGAGGAAATTGGAAGGTATGGTCCAGAAACCCCGCCCCAGGAGCCGCTGCCCCGCCCCTAGTCCCCGCCCCTCAGCCCCGCCTCCCGAGTCCCCGCCCCTCAGCCCCGCCTCCCCGAGTCCCTCCCCGAGTCCCCGCCCTCAGCCCCGCCTCCCGAGTCCCCGCCCCTCAGCCCCGCCTCCCC